GAGAGGATTATGATTTTTGGTATTTCAGCACGAATGTGAAAAAACGTGTGTCTAAAGCTATGGAAGTTTCCTTAATACTTTAAACTCTTATTTTGTCATTAATTTATTTAATTGTATAAGTCATGTGCTAACAAGGACTTTCTTTGACAAAGACTTTCTTTATTACACAATTTCTTATTTCCTTACGTAAAGATTGATTATCAACCTAATGGCCTTTAATCTTTTGTAGGGCTCTTTTATTCAACATAGAATATAAATAGCAGCACAGCACGACGTTTCGATTGTGTGTCTTTTCGGAGAGAAACAGATCTCTCCTTTCTTTGTTGCTGTTGCACGCTTTTCGTTGGAGAGAAAAATCATATTTTCTGCTCTTTTTATTGTTGCCCATGGAACGTCTTTGATCGAGAGAAAATATACAGAGAAAATATTCTTGGCTCTCGTTTTTATAGTTCCATCGTGATACGTGACTTTCATAGAAAATATACCGGCTTCAAGGCTTTGTGGTGAAGACACCAAGATTCAAGGAGTATCACAAGTTTGCTTCTTCTATACAAAAATTTTATAGTTCCATCGTGATACGTGAATTTATAAATTCAATGCTTAAAGGTTATTTTGTGTTACATAAGCATCCACAACTTTTAATTTAGAAATACAACATAATCTCGATATAAATTAATAACTTGGCCTGACTAATTATTTCTTCCAGCCATAACTCGGTGAAAACATATTAAGTTATTAGTTATTTAGTTCAGTAATTTAATACTTCCTCCTTCCCTCTATAGTTATCACTTTTGTTAGTTGCACACATATTAAGAAACTCAATAAATATGCATAGATAATAGCAAAAAGTATAGTAAATCACTAAAATACCCATGGCATTAATTGATTTTTAAATAATTATATTTCAATTAATTATGATTGAGAAAGGGCAAAATTGAAAGATTGTAATTAATTATTCATTGGTATAGTAAAATGACAAATAATTTGAAATATGAAAAAATGGCAAAAATGATAAATATTAAGAGAAGGACGGAGAATTACACTAGATTAATAGAATTTCGTTAGTCAACTATCGAAATTATTCAACTAACAAATTTCTACCTCGGTATGTTTTGAAAATATCGAAACGCCACCTAACTCATAGAATATTGATGTGAAGTACACGTGGGGTGCATTAAATTGAGAATACTATTATTTCATATAGTATCATATGATATACATATGATAAGATATTATATACAAATTATTATTATTACTTTTTATTTATTTTTTACTTAAAATAAAGAGATATATATATGGTTTCCAAAATGATGTACTTGACAAGATATTCAAACATTTTTTTTTTAATTTTCTTTTATTTTATACACACAAATATTTAATTAATACATGTCCAATATTATAGGATATATCAATTAAAAAAAGAAATCGTCGACGTATATCACTGAGTGCCATCATAAATACATTTAAAACTACTCGTCAACGCATATAATTGGGTGCAATCCATGACTACGTCTACAGGTGTGTATGTATATATATGGGGTAAATTACAACTACCTGAGGTATGGTCAAATTACGAAAAAACTTATATGTCTGGATAATTATATTTACCTCTTTCAACTATGCATCTTCTTACATCTCCACCTTTTTGGTGTCAAATTCAACTTAATTATCTAGATTATGTGGAATGTGATATAATTTTGTACTCGTTTTGTGCAAAAATACAGTTTCTGATACACCACAATCTGATATATACAAGCCAAAAAATACATATTATGATAATCTTACTTCAAAATGTGGAGCTCGATGGGTTAAAATGGGTACAAAGTGATAGTATTCCATATAATCTCGAAGATTCCACTAAATTTGAAACCGCAAAGATAGATGTATAAGAAAATTTATAATTAATAAGTGGTTGTAATTACCTAAACATGAGGGGATTTTTATAATTTAATTATACCTCGTAGGTGTGGTTGTCATTTACCTTAAAATAATAATAATGACTGCAGATGGATACCATTTTGTTAAACAATTTGAAAGGTAACAAAGATAGACACGTGTGCATGTATCTTTGAAATTGATAGCCCAATAAAAAAATAATTGTGCAACAAATTACAAATTTGAAAGGTAATAAAGATAGACAATGTGTGCATGTATATTTTTTCTTACATCTCCACCTTTATGGAGTCATAATCAATATAATCATCTAGATTTCGTGGAATGTGCCCTACTTTGTCTTTGTTTTGTATAAAAATCCAGTTTCTGATGCACCACAATCTGATATATACAAGCCAAAAAACACATATTATGAATATCTTGCTTTAAAATGTGGAATTCGAATGAGATAAAACGGGTACAAAAGTGATAATCTTTCATATAATCTCGAAGATTCCACTAAATTCGAAACCGCAAGGGTGGACGTGTAACAAGATTTATAGTTGACGGGAGGTTGTAATTACCTTAACAAGAGGTGTTTTTTTTAATTTAACATATATATATATATATATATATATAATAATAATAATAATAATAATAATAATAGTAAATAATAATCTAAAAGAAATTGTCAATAATAGAAAGAGTGGGCACTAGTTTATGGAGCCCGTGTTGTGATCTTTTATCTCTCTCTTTTTTGGGGAGATTGTGTTGACAACGATATAACATTTTATTCGTGTTTTTTTTTTTCTATCTTTTTTCTTTCAAATTTTAAAAAATAAGTATTTTTCCAATAACTTTGAACTAGGACTTAGGTGGTGTTTGCCA